AGAGAGCAGACTGTGGAAGGGAAGAGGGAGTGGAAGCAACCTCTGCCTGCTTGAGGACTTTGAAGTAACATTTCCTAACATACACAACCCAGCTCCTTCCTCCTTCCCTCTCCGTCTCACCCTCTCTTCTGAGAACTGCATTTATACCCTGTCACATGCTATGAGCACAAGAGGTCCTTGATTCAGTCCACTGAGCTATACCCTCTCCACCACCTCTTTTATTTGTAAGTCCAAAGTAAATTTGAAAAGACTGGCTTAGAAATCAAGAGGTTTGGAGAAAGGAGTAAGGAGAAAGGGGAGAGAGTCTGGAGAGGGAGAGAGGGGAGAGAAACCGCCTGTCCATGGAGATGAGAAGTCAACCTTGGATGCTTTTCCTGAGGCATATTTTAGTTTACTTTTTGAGTCATTGGGAGTCTAGTCTGGCTGGCCAGCAGTCTCCAAAGATGCACCTGCCTCCACCTCTCCTGCTGGACTTTTAAATATACCATCAAGTCGGTTTCTTTTTGTTTGTTTGTTTTTTGACTGCAGCCAGCGAAGGGGCGGGGCCAGCTCTGCACAGCCTTCAGATATTAACATGGGCCTAGTGGCAGCCCAGACCAGGGACATCCAAATGGCTGCAGGGTTACAGACCAGACATGGCCTTTGCCGGCAGCATGGGCCAACACCATACCATGGCCTGGGGTGGCATCTCTAGGCAAACCTGCCTCCCAGCAGTCAGCTTGATTTGAGCAAGCTTCCCTCATCATGACAGCAAGCTGCCAGCATCAGTATGTATTTTCTGGGCTCCACAGAGATAGATCATCCTGCTCCATTTCTCTCTAGGTTCTGTCACTTTCTAGAAAGATGGCCAGTTCCTCAAAGGGAACAATTTTCTTTCACCCTTAGAACTTCATCACTGGGTCAGTACCCACTGCTCAGTATCCAGACCAGTCATCACGAATTCGTTAGTTGTGGCCTGCCCGCTTAACTCCAGACAGCTTTCTAATTCCGATATGTGCCCTTTTTACCAGCATAGCATATGTCCCTGAGCTGTGGTCCTCAGATTGATAATAGAAGGGACCTGAGGCTTTCTGTAGAAGGTGGAGCTGCCTCTGCCTAAAACCAGGTGCCAGGTGTTGGTAAATCCAAAGCCATGTGGAGACAACCGGACTTCTCTGTATTTGTAAACATTCTAAACATCAGGCCCCCATCATCTAGTCCTCAGATAAAGGTGTTCTCTTCTTCTGAGTGTAGTTTTGTTTCATCAACCCTGATTTGGGATTATAATGTCATGTGTCCCTGTTGTGTGGTTTAGCTTTTTTAAACACTGAGGTAAGTTTATATGTTTCCTAGGTTCACATGTTTGCATCCCTAAATGAGTGATGGATGATAAACCTTTATTGTATGAACATTGGGAAGGGTTTAATGCTTTGCTCTTTCAGGCTCACAATAACTATGTATGTATGTATGTATGTATGTATGTATGTATGTATGTATGTATTTATTTATTTATTTAAATGTTTTATTCACATATGTACTCTTGTACTTGTATGCTGTTGTTTGTTTTTTGAGAAAGGGTCTCATGTAGTCCAGGCCAGCCCCAAATATGCCATGTAGTTGTGGCTAGCCTTGGATTCGTGATTCTGTTGCCTCCACCTCCCAAGTACTGGAATTACAGGCATGGCCACATTCGGCTAAAGATAGACTTTAAAAAGAAACTGGAAAACAAAACAAAACAAACAAACAAAAAAAAAAAAAACCAGAATCAGTTTTTATTGAAGTTTTTCCAGTTCCGGTCAAAGGATGCTGGGAATGGCTCTGCCTGGTGTCAGAACAGCACATCCCTCTCTAGAGCAGGCAGTCTTCCTTCTCCTGCCCTTGTGATAACGTCAGCTTGGGCTGTCAGTCTTTTCCGCCTTCTGAAAGGCTGCTCCCTTAGATGAGAGCTTTCCCTTTAGGAACCTGTCAGCTGACCACAGGGTGGCTTTATTTTGTTTTTTCATTTGTTTCTGTGAGCCCATCTGTTCCAGGGCTGTCTCTGGTTATTGATTTGACCTCTATTTTATTGAGTGCTCATAATAAATCCTGAAAGCCACTTATGGAAGGATTTTTTCATTTTTCCCCCCTAATTCCAATGAACAGGATTCCAAAAGAGGATTTGGCATTGCAGTGTCGGGAGGCAGGGACAACCCCCACTTTGAAAATGGGGAAACGTCCATCGTCATTTCTGATGTGCTCCCAGGTGGACCCGCTGATGGCTTGCTTCAGTAAGTGCCCTCACTCCCCTCCCCAAGCCCTGCCAGCCCTGCAGGTTGACACTAGCCGGGGGGTTTTCACAGTGTGTGCCTTTACATCTGAAGTCTTCAGTGAAAAGTAGGGTCACAGCTAATACATTATGTTTTAGCAGTTGCCAAACTTTGGGGAACTTAGAGGAAAAAGGGAACTCCTATAGGGTGGAGTCCTCCTGTTCGAAGGAAGGTAGTTAGAACGATCACTTGTAAGCTGTGGAATCTTTTAGCTTTTCTGTGACCCCCTTCTCCCTCATTCCCCCTCTCCCTCACTTTATTGACATTGTCTTTACCCTAGAGTGGTTTCCAGTTCCCCACAAACTTGAGGATAAACTTTGAATTCCTTTTTTTTTTTTTTTTTTTTTTTTGAGACTAGGTTTGTCTGTGTAGCCTTGGCTATCCTGGACTTGCTTTGTAGACCAGGCTGGCCTCAAATTCACAGCGATCCACCTGCCTCTGACTCCCAGAGTGCTGGGATTCCAGGGGTGAGCCACCACACCTGGGTTTTATTTATTTTTTACGTTTATTAGTGATCTGTCTGCATGTTCACCTGCATACTAGAAGAGGGCATCAGATCACATTACAGATTTTTGTGAGCCACCATGTGCTTGCCAGGAATGGAAGTCAGAGCAAACAGTGCTTTTAACCATTGAACCATCTCTCCAGCCCCTCTGTTTCCCATGTTCTGGGTTTACAGACCTGTGCCCCTTACCTAGTTTACACAGTGCTGGGAATTGGACTCAGGGCTTCATGCATGTTAGACAAAATCAGCAACTGAGCCACATTCTCGTTTCCAAACCTGTTGCATATCTCACTATAACAATATTCTTGAGAAAATAACTTAAGGGAAGCACATATTTATTTTGGCTCACCTTTTCAGAGGGTTTTGTCTGTCCCAGTAAGGAGAATATGGGAGAACAGAGCAGCTAGTAGCGCGGTGGCTGGGAAGCAGAGAGCAGAAAAGACAGAGACAACACCTGCCCTTCCCGGCTTTCTCCTTTATTCCTCAAGCACATACGATGGGGTCACCCATTCAGAGTGGCTCTATTCCTCTTAATTCACTTGAAAACATCCTCATGGACACAGCTAAGAGTGAGCCTTGCTAACCTTCACAGCGCTTTTCAACCCAACCAAGCTGACAGAATTGACCACCTCAGTTTCCACCCTTCTCAGTATCTACCAAGAGTTTTTTATATATGTCCTAGTGTATGTTGTTTTGGAATTTAATGAAGATGGTTAGGAATGTGCCTCAGTAGTAGAGCACTTAGCATAGGTAAGATCTGGAATAATCTTTATTATCTGGAATAACCATCTCCAATAAAAACTCAACTAACAATTCCCCCACCAATAGAATTTAATAATGGGGACATTCATGATAGTCAGATCTAAGCTATCCAGCTGCCTTCCTTCTGTTCTGAGGAGATAACCCCACTTTAAAAGATGGAGTCTGAATCCTCTCAGGAAAGACTCTAAAGGTAAATATATGGCTACATTAGCCAGGTCGTATAAAAGTCAGATTTGTGGGAGATTTAAATTCTCTGTGTTTCTATCTTATTAGTTGTTAGTCTTTTCAAAGTTAGTCTTTGACTTAGAGTAATATACAATCGTGAAATAACTGGACGAGCCCGAGTAATAGGATTCTGTGATCTTAAAGTTTCTTTGAGAATCTTGAGGCAAGAAAGTCAGGTCTGATTGTGTACATTTATAATATATGCATTCAGGAGATGGAGCCAGACACAGAACAATCAGTAGGTTAAGGCCATAGTTGGCTAAACAGTGAGTTAAAGGCCAGCTTGGGCTACACAGGACCCTTTTCAAAACAAGAGAATCCAAGGCAAGATTTTGACTGCTTTCCCTCCAGACATTGCACAAGTGGATGCACACTCATTTGAGTGGTTCCACTAAATGCAGCTCACTGTGTACTTCGGCACACAGGAGTGTCACTGCATTCCTCTTGCTGCCTTACCCCTGAAGTGCTCAGACCAAGTCGACCCGACTTGGGAGCTACCACACCCCGGGGCCCCTTACTAAGCTTTCTGGGCTCAGTCGCTGCTTCTGTTCTCTTCCCGGGGTTCAGGATGGGCCACGGTGAGCTTTTGTGACTGACGCTTGTTTCTTGTTTGCAGAGAGAATGACAGGGTGGTCATGGTCAATGGCACCCCCATGGAGGATGTACTCCATTCCTTCGCCGTGCAGCAGCTCAGGAAAAGTGGGAAGATCGCAGCCATCGTAAGTCCCGTGTGGCACGCGGTGCGCATGTGTACATGCGAGCCAGCATCCTTACACGCAAACTGTAAATAAATAAAACAGTCTTCAAAAAAATCAGGAATATTTATCATTCATCAGCGCATAAAGGGGCTGGAGAGAGAGCTTTGTGGCTGAGAGCCCATATTGTTCTTGCAGAGGAACTGAATTTAATCCAAGAACATTTGTTTTCTTTCTTTTTAAAGATTTATTTAATGTATATGAGTGCTCTATCTTCATGTACACCCGCATGCCAGAAGAAGGCATCAGATCACATGCTCGATGGCTGTGAGCCACCGTGTGGTTGCGGGGAATTGAACCCAGGAACTCTGGAAGAGCTCTTAACCTGCTGAGCCCTCTCTCCAGAACATTGCCCAAGGAAAATGGCCGTTTTCTTCTGAGCATTTGACAGTTACATGGCCCAGGGCCAGCGTGCTTCTTGGAGCCCTGATATTTTTCTAGGTTGGTGTTACAGATGTGGTGGAGCTGTATCCGAGCGACCCCCCTGAGGAAGGCCACTGCACCCTACCTCAGTGCTGTTGCATGTGTCTCCTACGAGTAGGGCCATCTGCCAACAGATGTAAGAACCCCAGTGAATGCTCCTCCACTTCCCAACGTGGCGTGGACGAGCCTTCCCAGATCAAGTGTGCTCATGCCTCTGTGCTTGCTTATCTCTCCTCAGTCCCCTCTTGTCTGGAAGGGCACCTCTTCTGCTCCTCTTCCTGTAACATGTGCAGGAGTATCTCCAGCTGTGTTCAAAATAGTTCATTTCTTGGGTTTTCATTTGACGATTATAGAGGTGTCCAGATCCACTGCGTCCACAGCTGTGGTCGTTTTTCTCTTTCTCACTTTGTGAGGTTTGTTGTTCTTGGTTCTGGACAGAGGCTTGGAAGGTTGGCAGGGATACAGATGTTTAAGGGATGTAGGTTTTTTTTTTTTTTTTTTTTTTTTTTTGCTGTTGTTGTCTTTTGTTTTGTCTTAATGACCCTCCCACCCCCGCACACACTGAGCCTAAAGGACAGTTTTACCAAAACTGGAACCAGGTCCACTGCCCTCCCGCCCATCTCTGTGTGCAGTGTCCTGCATCTACTCTGTTTGTCTGCGCAGGTGGTCAAGAGACCCCGGAAGGTTCAGGTGGCCCCGCTCCAGGGCAGCCCTCCTCTCAGTCATGATGACCGAGGTTTTGAGGTGATAGATGAATTTGATGGCAGAAGTTTCCGCAGCGGCTACAGCGAGAGGAGCCGGCACAGTAGCCATGATCTGCTCAGTCAGAGCTGGGAGGACAGCAGGGAGAGGGGGCGTCCCCAGCAGCGCACACAGAGCCGGGAGCGGGAGCGCAGCCGTGGCCGGAGCCTGGAACGCGGCCTGGACCACGAAGACTATGGACGCAGCCGTGAGCGAAGCCGGGGTCGGAGCCTGGAGCGCGGCCTGGACCACGGCTTTGTGTCCCGGGACCACAGCCGTGGCCGCAGCATCGACAGGGACTACGACCGCGACTTTGAACGCAGCTATCGCCATGCCTATGAGCCTGACTACGAAGGCCGCTACAGCCCACCGTACGACCGCAGAGCCCAGCCCGAGGCCCGCTACGAGCGCAGCCACAGTCGCGAACACCTCCGCTCCCGCAGCCCCAGCCCTGAGCCTAGGTCCCGGCAGGATCACAAGGGCCAGCATGATCCCGACAGGCCCATCGGGGTCCTTCTGACCAAAAGCAAAGCAAACGAAGGTAGGCACATATGATACGGGAATGCAAGCCGTACCTGCCAACATCGCTGGGTGTTCACCAGGCACCTGCCAGTGTTCAGCCTGGACCGTCCAGCACCCATAGGCTCATTTATTCCTCATTGCCATAGGAGAAACAGAGACACAGAAGGGTCCACTGATCCGGACTAGGTGTATCAGTCGCAAGGCCAGGTTTTTAGAGAAGCCCCTCTGCTCCACACAATTCTCAGTCTCCTACCTGCCCCCGGAACCAGAGACTAGGGGTCTGTGTGTGAATAGGCCCTGCTGGTAAACCTGGTGCTTCTCAGTGTGAGAAAACAAAGCGGAAGGCTGGAGTTCTGTTCTGGGCTGGGGTTGGTGCTAACCAAATAGTCTCCTACTTAATCCCCTTAAGAACTTCTGTGGGTAGGAGGCCTCATTCCTATGTTACAGGTCAGGGGTTTTGGTATGTATGTGGAGGCTGGCTCTGCTTTATTCTGCTTGCCCCTTACACTGCATTCCGGGAGACACAGGCACACTTAACCCCACCCGGGACTCATTAAATTCTGTGCGGTGAAGCTGTTAGTTCTGTCCATACAGGAGCTCTGTGAAGCAGAGTTAGTGAGGGAGCTGGGACTCACTCAGCTGATCTGAAGTGAGGAGAGGAACAGGAGTTGAGCCATTTCTAATCCTGGGTCTTGTCTTCCTACTTCTAAAATTAATCAGGCTGTGTCAGCCCCCTGTCCTGGGCTGTGCTCTATCTAGCCATTGTCAGACCTTTGTCATCCATAGGAGGGAGAGATAAGCGTTCCCTAGGAGAGTGTGAACTGTACCTCAGAACTTTTAGTTGTTGATGGCCCTCGAGCCTTACAGATGTCAGCCGTTCGCTGTACCACCAAGGACCACATCGGCCAAGCACTTTGTATCTTTGTCCTAAGATCAGATGCTAATAAGTAAAGTTTCTTTCTTTCTTGAAGAAAGTGACTGCTTTGTAAGTATGCAGTTTTCAGTGAGAACACTAGTAATAATAACTTAGAAATTGAATGTGTTGGCTCCTTGTGATGGCTTGCTTGCTTAATTGTGATATCTTTCAAAGTCACTGCAATTCACGCTTAAAATCTGTCTTTTTACAGCTTAATAAATACAGTCAGAATAGTGTGTAGAACATGTGAAATATTTAAAAACGTGCATCCCTCCTAACTGCAGTGTTTCTGTTTTTGTTTTTTCTTCTGAGAACAGTTCAGAGTGCTGCTGACATCTGTACAGTGCTGCTGTGATTGGCTTTGCCCAGCTTACAAACCCTGGGCAGTGTGCATTGTTATAGTTCAGACACACTCGTGTCCTCAGCTTCCTGTGGGCAACCTCAGGGTCAGCACAGTTTCCTATTAGACGGATGGAGTGGATTGTTGCCACCAACTTTTTATTTGAAAAGTATCTGTTTTACATCAGACATCCAGATAGCCTCCACCAAGTTTAACCCGTTAGCATTTTCTTTAACAACACTGTCTTCCTTTCTCCTCCCTTTTTTGTCTTTATTTTTTTCGTTCTATTTCTCTCTACCCACTTCATTGAACTCTGCCTCCAATGTCCCCCTTCAATTCCAGGCCAGTTTAGCAGAGCATCCCATATAAAAATGGACGTTTTCATACATGTTTGAAGTAGTCCTCAAGGCCAGACTTGAGTTTCCTGAGCACGTTGAGATTGTGTGTGTTTCCCTGTTTGTCCTCCAGAGTATGGTCTCCGGCTGGGGAGCCAAATCTTCATCAAGGAAATGACCAGAACTGGACTAGCAACCAAAGATGGCAACCTTCATGAGGGGGACATAATTCTCAAGGTGAGAAGACCAGGACAGATAGCAGTGAGGAACGGTGTGTGCCTGCATGCATCCCACATCCACACACCAGCGTAGAGGAGCTGGTGTCAGCGGGGCCAGGAGGAAGGTAGAGGCAGAAAGAGCAGCAGGATAAGGGGAGCTTTGTCAAAGAACAAGAACAAACAGATACAAACAGTAGGGATGTAGCTGGGGAGCCAGACTCTTTCCCAGGGTGTGAGCTCTGCTCCCTTTCTAGCCCCGCCCCCAAGGGGGGAAAAAAAACTTAAAAGGAAAAACAAGCCTTAGGGTCTATACTAATTTAATAAGGAAGAAAAAACCTCAAGGAATACTTTCCCTTCTCCCTGTTGATTTAACGTTGAGATTTTTGTTCCCATACCAAGGGAAGGTAAGTCTGAAAACGATTGATCTATGATTGCTCAATGTTTGATAGGGTCTTTGTTTGTTTTCTGAGAGATGGTTTCTCTGCTTAGCACTGGCTGCTTTGGAACTCACTCTGTAGACCAGGATGGCCTCAAACTCAGAGATCTTTCCACCTCTGCCTTCCTAGTGCTGGGATTAAAGGTGTGCTGCACCACTGGCTGGCTATGGTTGATAGTTTTTAAAACCTCTTCCAGTCAGGAAGCATGTTCCAGCAGTAAAGCAAGCCGTAGAGTTGAACTTGGACATTAAGTAGAGTAGCAGTGTAACCTAAGGTTACTCTGAACCTAAGTGTGACTCATGCCTGTTCTGGACATGTAATTTACATGTTACATGTAATTTAAAGAATAACTGACTTTCAGTAAATCATCCTCAAGTCTGGATGAGTTTCTCAGCATGTTCTTTCCGGTTCTATGAGGGAAAAGTTAACAGTTTTGCCTTAGCTGTGACCAGTTGTCCTGCATGACAATAACATCGCCATTCTTCATATACACAGATCAATGGAACTGTGACTGAGAACATGTCTTTAACTGATGCCCGGAAGTTAATAGAAAAGTCTAGAGGAAAACTGCAGCTCGTGGTGTTGAGAGACAGCAAGCAGACCCTCATCAAAATCCCATCCCTAAACGACAGCGACTCTGAAGTAGAAGGTGAGAAGGGCCCCTGTGTTCAGGGCTGGGTATCAGGAGGGCCATGCTTGAGGGCAGCCCCCGGCTGGAGGGGCGAAGAGACCTTCCTTCTAACCTTGATTCAAAGAGAAGTAGTTTTGACTTTTTGTCTGTTTGTCTATTAAAGCATCTTTTGAAATTAGATTTCTAATAGGAAATTCTGACACACTTTATGAGGCCAAAATTACTAGTTAAGAAAAAAAAAAAAAAAAAAAGGATGCATGACCAGTCCAATGAACTAAACATATCACTTACACATTTGCTAAGTGCTCATACAGACACAAAGCATAGACTTGTGCTCCATTGGAATGACAGAAGGCAAGCACGCCAGTGCCTTTAATCCTTCTCTCAGCAGCCAGAGTCAAGGTCAGACTGTCTACTGAGCAAGTTCCAGGCCAGCCACAAAGGGAAAAAGAAAAGAAAACCAAACAGTAACAACAAAAAGTGTTTAAAAACCCTTTGCTCCTGGTTGAGCCTTCCTTTCTTCATGAAGCCTTTCTTTATCTTAACTCTAGTGAGTAAACTCCGTGTTAAAATCTCTTAATAAGCTGGGAAAAATCTGTGTTAAAATCTCTTAATATGCCAGCTGTGGAAGCACATACCTTTAATCCCACCACTTGGGAGACAGAGGCAGGATGTTTTAGAAAAGAGACGTGATGAGGAGTGCAGTAAAAGGGTTGCCAGTGCTCCCTCACATGTGTATGCTAAAAGCCGTGCCAACTAGAGGGTGGGCTCTTGTCTTATAATACTTGCAGACTAGGGAGATGATTTGGGAGAGGGCGTCCATCATGTGTACAAGCTACCTGAGGGCTGGCTTTATCCCAGACCCTACAGTTGCCTTTCCCAGTGGCCCAGTGTGTAGACTATTGGGGGAAAGAGCATTGTGGGCCGGCAAGATGGCTCAGCACAAAAAGACAGTTCCCCGAGATTCCTAGTGTGCACCGACGTGCCTGGATTTGAAAGTTAATGTCATTTCCAGTTTATCAGAAGTGTATTCAGAAGGCTAAGTAGGTCTGGACTGTGAGTATAGTACGGGAAAGCAAGGAGCTCACGGCAGCCAATTGTGTTAGTTCACAGTTCATCTCCTGACCGTTCAGCGGGTGATCCTCTGTACAGCATCAGTGTCAGGAAACTGGATTCCAGCCAGATCCCTACATGGTTCGAACATACATTAAAATTTCAGGAGTGCTGGTCTGTTTGGCAAGAGTGGTTTCTATAGCCTCAGATTCAGGCAATCGTGGATTGAAAATATATGGGGAAAAGAGGCCAGAAAGTTAAGGTTTCTTTTTCTTACTCTGTCAACAGTACAGTGTAACCACAGTAGATAAGGCATTTGCAGTATGACCTATATTACAGGTAAAACATGCAGGGAAATGTGGATAGGGTACAGGCTAGCATTTAGCATCTTATATAAGAGACTTAATTGTCTGCTGAGTTTGGCTGGGGAAGTGGTTCTGGAATGAGTTTCTACAGCAGACACAGAGGGACACCACTTTGTAGATGGATCATGGCCTCCTTTGAAGGAGCTTTGAAGGAGTGGGATGAGCTGGTCGTAGTGGCGCACACCTGTAATCCCAGTGCTCAGGTAGACAGAGGCAGATAGTTCTCTGAGTCTGAGGTCAGCCTGGTCTGAGGTTGAGTCTGAGGTCAGCCTGGTCTATAAAGCGAGTCCATGACAGTCAAGGCTACACCGAGAAACCCTGTCTCAAAAAAACAAAACAGAGTGGTGTGAAAGAAGTGTATGGTTCTGAATTTGACTGCCTGTTCATTAAGTCTCTGAAAATTAGGGTTTTTTTTTTTTTGTTTTGTTTTGTTTTGTTTTTCTTGCTCCTTTAATAAAAGAAAAAAACTACTAAATTGATGGTTTCCCTTCATGTTTCCTGCTCAGAGAATAGTGTGATTTTTGGTATGTGCCTATTTCACTGAATTAGACTTTTTGTGTTTTGAAACTAGATATCTCAGAAATAGAATCCAACCGGTCTTTTTCTCCTGAGGAAAGACATCAGCAGTATTCTGACCAGGATTATCATTCCTCCAGCGAGAAGCTGAAGGAGAGGCCGAGGTAAGGCGGTGTGGTGTGTGCTTTTGTTTCTGTTAGTCACGGGTACACGCACTGTGTGTATCATGGCTGTGTTCCCTACTAAGACATGATCATGGTGTGTGCTTCAGTTCAAGAGAGGAAACCTCAGGCAGGCTGTCCAGGATGGGGGCCACACCCACTCCATTCAGGTCCACAGGGGACATCACAGCTGCAGGTGCCACGGAGGCCAACAAGGAGTCCAGGTACCAGGAAGAAACTCCAGGTAAGGCTTTCAGGTCATTCGTGTGTGTGTGTGTGTGTGTGTGTGTGTGTGTGTTATACACAAGCTGGTTCATGCTAAGCTTACCCTCCCAGCCCAGCTCCACTGATTTGAGCACTTGAGTTCAGAAATACATGCTGGATATTTCCAAAATGTGACTGAAAAAAAACAAACCTAAAACTAAAACTGTTCTCAAAATAAGTTGTAAAGTGGAGGAGGCTCTATGTATTTTCCTCTTCTAACGTGGGAGGTAAAATCCATTCTAATACATGATAGAATGGGTCACATTTTGACACTTCTGAGTTACAGTCCTCCTGCCCTCTGTCCACAAACCCAACCTCACCCTAACTATTCCTGTCACTCTAATTATCTTTGCAAGTCTAGGTACGTAAGTATTTGTTTGTGGGGAAAACATTATTTTGTGGCTGTTAAAAGCACTGCCTCGTGCCTTGTGCTTTGAGTGTTTCTTTTCCTTTCTTTCTTTTCTTTTTTTTTTTTTTTTTTTTTTCTGACTCTGAGAAACTATGATAACTACTAATGCCTTAAAGTTAACCTTTGACTTTAAGTCATCCCATTTTTTTTAAGGGGTAAAAATAGACAGTTTAAGAAAGGGAACACACTCGGGAATGGGAGTGGGGTAGTGAGTAGGGGAAGGTGTGCTGCCCTTTGAGGGATGGTGCGAGTGTCCTAAGACACACTGACAGCCTGTGGATTTGGCTATCTTCTTTTAAGGAACAAGCACTCATGGGTCTGGATGATAAGAAGTATAAGTTTTTTCATCTTGTTTTGTTGAGATTTATTTTCCTCGTATGGGGGTTAATTCCACAGCCTCCTGCATTCAACGCAAAGAGACACACACACACTTAAGCGATAGCAGTAAACTTTTAAAAACTCCATAGTGACTGGAGAGGTGTCTCAAAGGTTAAGAATTTCCCATCATCCACATGGTGCCTCACAAAACTCTGACTCTAGTTCAGGGCACTCAGTACCCTCTTCTGGCCTCCATAACATTAGGCATGCACACAGAACATATACATGCATGAAGAACAATCTCTTATGAGTGGAATAAAAACAAATAAAATCTTTAAATCCACAGTTCCTCAACCCAGAGCCGCCCCAAGAACATTTCTTCGTCCTAGTCCCGAAGATGAAGCAATATACGGGTATGTACTTGCATTCCTCTATCCCTACCCCCTTCCTCTTCCACTCAGCTCATCTCTGAGCTGAAATCCACAGCAGTGGTGCTGTTTCCGCCCCCACCCAGGTGGTGAGTTTCCATCTGTTCAGCCACCTTTAATCAACTCTTGCTCCTAATGTTCAAAAGAAAGATGAATCACTTAACGAGAAGAGCAAAATTTGGGATTGGCTGAACTTAAAGGCTTTGGGATCTGTCTGTTTACCTACCTGACTACTTCTCCTGAATGTTCTTCTGAATATTTGCATCAGTCAGATGCATAACTCCAAAACAGGAGAAGCAGCTCCGGACTAGAGCGCTTCAGTAGAGACTGCAGGGGTGGTATGGTTCCGCCACGGTGGGGAGCGAGAAGGGGCCATGTTGAGTGGTCTCCAGACAGCAGTTGTTGGATTAGGACCAACAATCCAACACTGGATCTACACTGTCTTTATTTGACCAAACTTGTGGTGGAGTAGACTTGAGGGCATCCTCCAATCAGATAGCTAGACTCAATCCCCAGTTCCTCACTCTCTCATCTTATATGAGCTAACATGGTAAATTCTGTATTTTTACTCCTTTGTGGGCTGGTAGACATTCATGTCACTGTCCCAGGGAGATAAAATTATAGGACAGATGAGAAACAATGAGAGGGAACATTTGTAATTATGAAGTCACTCCTGAGCTAGAATATAGTTAAATCTTTAATCTCTTGATGTGAATCCTCCATTTTAAACAGTATGTTTCATCTTTTCTTTCTGACACCAAACCTACAACAGCCCTAACACCAAAATGGTGAGGTTCAAGAAGGGAGACAGTGTGGGCCTCCGGCTGGCTGGTGGAAATGATGTTGGGATATTTGTTGCTGGCATTCAGGAGGGTACCTCAGCAGAGCAGGAGGGCCTACAGGAAGGAGACCAGATTCTGAAGGTAAGGAAGCCTGCCCTCTAGCGGTCACTCGAGAAGGTGCTTTTCTGGCTGTTTTTCAGTAGAGTTCTGAGAGTACGGGGTTCATGGTTGCTGTAAAGGTTTGGCATGCCGGGGGCTGTTGGGATTTGTAAGTTCTTTCTGTTTCTGTGTGCACACACGCACACTAACTGTTGAAAAATGCACACATCACTATCTGGAGGTCTGGTAAGCCTTTCCAGGCCCAAAGGAGAGGGAGAAGACGTTGTAGAATTGTCCAGAGAGTCAAACCTCAAGACAGGAGGATGTACCCACACTCAGAACTCTGCTGATCTGGTTCAAACTGACCTCTGGAGTGGAAGGAGTCATGAGCTCATGAGCATTGCTAAGCTTTCCAGTGAACCTCTAGGACCTTCTTTGGCTCCAGGAAGGACCCTAGAAGACAACCTGAGTGAACCTCGTGGTAACACATGGTCCTAGGAATTCTCTCCACCCACAGCTGCCCTTGCTACTGATGAAAATCTTTTCTAATGCCCGCACATACTGTTCTGTACTTGATGACTATGCTAATGAAGAGCAAGCATGCTTCCTGCTACTGGGAAGCCAGAGGCTTAGATAGAGCTTTGCTCATGAAAGTTGGAGAAAAAAATAGATTTTTTCTTGTGGAGGGGACGGTACATGTGAATTTTTATGAAGAGACGTAAAGAATTCCCCTAAGGCTTCAGGCTCTCAATTTCTGTATAAGACATTGTGAAAGACAAGGAGAATTACTTCCACACAGAACTTTTCTAGGAAGTTTTTTGGTTCCTGGCCTCACCATGGTGACGAGGAAGTTGCTGGTTGGCACTGACTTCTTCTGCAGTAGTTCTTGGTAGAGGTTGGGCAACAGCTGGCCTTGATCATCAC